CGTGGGGAAGGCCACCAGCACTCACCACATTGTGAGCTTCATCGAAGATCACCACTGTCCCCTTCAGGTCGATGCCCTGTGCCCGGCGACTCTGCAGGCAGGGGAGAGGATGCAGGGCTGCAGCGGAGCGGGGCAGCCACTGCCCCTCAGGGGCCCCTGGAGGCCAGGAGCAGAGGCTCAGGGCGCACAGCCCTGGTGAGCCTCCGTCCCATACCACCTGGGACACACGGCAGGCCCTCTGATACCTGCTGCTGGGTGGCGGCGAGTTGTAGCCACCGGGCACTGCCCACCACCACTGAGCTGGACATCAGGTGTGTGTCCTAGTGACACGTAGCACAAGGGAGCAGGCCGTGACCCTTTGCCACAGCAGGCTAAGCAGCCACAGAATGGAGACCACCCAGCACCTGCCACGGGGTGCACTGGTGGAGGTGTTTACACCCCAGGTGGGGGGGAAGTCACCTGCAGAGGGGTCTGGCATCCGTACTTCTTTTCAGCTTAATCTTAATTCTCATAAAATAAAGAGCCCATTTTAAGTGTGCCATCAAGAGGTGACATCCCCGTAGTATGACCCCCTCTTCCTATGAGCAGGGACCAGGACTGTGGGGTCAGGCAAGGGGCTCCTGTGTGGGCGTGCTCTCCCAAGCCCACGCATGTGGCTGCGTGGAGCACAGGTCACCCCTTCTGATTGCTCGTAGCTGTTCTTGGGACACCAGCTGTTGATGGACAGGGCTGTCCCTGGCTTTGGTGAGCGTTAAACTTGCCGACACCAATTTTAGGTCTTCTGACTTTCAGCCATTTCAGGGGGAACGCAGGGCCACCTGCCTGTGGTCTTCGTGTGCAACGCCTGAACATTTTCTCTTTTTATAATTCTTTACTGTTGACCATCTCCAGCCCGCCCCGCCCCGGCGTTCACCACCCTATTGTCCCTGCCCATTGGTTATGCATATTTGCACACAAGGTCTTTGATTGGCTACCTCCCCCCCCCCCCCCCCCCCCCCCCCCCCCCCCCTGTCTGCACCAC